CACAGGCTCAGCGGCCATGGCTCACGGGCCCAGCCGCTCTGCAGCATGTGGGATCTTCCCAGATCGGGGCACGAACCCATGTCCCCTGCATCGGCAGGCGGCCTCTCAACCATTGCGGAACCAGGGAAGCCCCTATTTGTGTCTTTATCCAAGGCGTTGATAGAAATGTTGGAAAAACGTGAGTAATACAGAAGACCTGCTTCAGGCTTCCAACTGACTTAAAGATTCTCTTGAAAGATTATTAAATCTGTTGCTGAAAATCAGACATACAAAGTCTATGACATCACTCAGCTAGTAAATGATGGACATAACTAGGTCTGGTGATATCTCTACTTTGTGAAGCTTTGCTCATTGCTAGGGATCCTGACGTCCTTCTTGGCTTGGAGGATTCAGAAACGTGGCAACTCATTCCAAAATTCTGATGTTGGTTGACAGCGATCACTGTTTTATTTCTAGAATATATTTCCTCTGCTCCCTCTAGAAGTCACACTTGTCGTTGACTAGGTATCCTTCTTTCATTCTTTTTATGTGTCCTTTTTCATGCAGTGCTCATCAAAGAGCTCCATGTGGAGTCCTATTATTTATTTAGATCCACCTCCTTTTCCTTCTTTTATGTGATCAGTTTCTGATTAACAGCCGACTCAGCTAACCAACATCCTGGGGGCATGGATCGCTAGGGGGTGTCAAAACCTTACCGGTTTATACTAGATATCGTTTTGAAGTTCAATCCATCTTTCCAGGTGGATATGTACAGAGCTGGTGAGTGCATACTGGTTGTTTCTCACTGAAGTGTATGTCAGTTTCAGAGGGAAATTTTAAAGGGCTCCTCATCAGTCCTGCTCCTACTAAATGACCAAGCTTTTAAGGAACATTGGCTGGAGGAGGTGGCCAGTGATCAGCCTCGCCAGACACCCACGTGTCTTTTGTGGTCCTCACGTGTGACTCCTTTGATTGTATTAACAGAATTATCTTCAGAGCATCAGATCTCTTCCTTGTTTCTTCATCCTTCCGAAAGACGCCGGTGTTATCAGGAAGCAATGCCAGCTCTTGGTGTCACACATCTGTTTTAAATGCCACCTCTACCAATGACTGGGGGGGACGTTAAGCCAGTGGTTCTCAGTTGGTGGTGACTCTGCCCTTGGGAAGAACAGTTGGCAACATCTAGAGACAGCTGTGATTGTCAAAACTTGGGTTGCGGGCTTCCCTGGTGGCGCAGTGGTTGAGAGTCCGCCTGCCGATGCAGGGGACGCGGGTTCGTGCCCCGGTCCGGGAAGACTCCGCGTGCCGCGGAGCGGCTGGGCCCGTGAGCCATGGCCGCTGTGCCTGCGCGCCCGGAGCCTGTGCTCCGCAACGGGAGAGGCCGCGACAGTGAGAGGCCCGCGGACCGCAAAACAAAACAAACAAACAAATAAATAAACATTACGAAAAAAAAAAAAAAAAACTTGGGTTGCTATTTGTATCCAGTTGGTAGAGGGCGGGGGTGGGGCACTGCTAAACACCCTACAATGCACAAGTCAACTACCACAACAAAGGATTATGTATCTGACCCCAAACTGCAGTATTGCTGCTGTTGGGAAACCTGATTTAAGAAAATAACCTTTCTGAGCCTTGGGTCCGTTTCCTGTACAATGAGGGTAACAGTGGTCCAGGGCAGTGTCGTGAGAATTATAGGCAGCACTGTACTTAGAACACACACCATAACGACTGGCACAGAGCAGCATCAAAAAATGGTAATTATTTTCTTAATTATTACCAGGTATTACATTGGTTACTTCCTAAAATGTTATTAGCTTAATACTAAAAAGGTAGTTCATTTACTCCACAAATATTTTTTTGAGCACTTTCTATATGCTAGGCACTGATCTGGCTGATGCAAATAGATTAGTTAAAAGGAAAACAAGACAACACACTCCAACTTCAGGAAGCTAACAGCCTGCAAGTAGGCACTGTGTTCCCGTTTTGTAATTGAGAGAACCCAGGCCCTGCGAGCTTCAAGTAATGTACCCAAGGGTTCAACACTGATAAGGGGCAGAGCCTGGATTCAAACACCACCAGCTGCAACAGACTGAGGTGTCTGTAATTTGTGTCTCCCCAAATTAATATGTTGAAATCTTAACCCCCAATGTGATGACATCAGGGGACGGATCTGGGATTAGATCATGAGGGTGGAGCCCTCTCGAATGAGATCAGTGCCCCTCTAAGAAGAAACAGGAGAGAGCTTGCTTCTCTCTATGTCACGTGAGGATACAATGAGAAAACGGCTGTCTGCAAACTAGGAAGTGGGCCCTCACCAGACACCCGATCTGCTGGTACCTTGATCTCGAACTTCCCAGCCTTCAGAAGTGTGAGAAATAAATGTCTGTTGCTTAAGCCATCTAGTCTGAGCTGACTAGGACACCAGCTTTGCCTGATTCCAAAGCCTACATGCTTTCTACTCCATTATTATCAGATGCCTGCTTTTAGGAAAACCAGATTGCGAGGTGTGTGAGAATGGCAGATCCCACTTCTGTGCTAACTTTTATTTATTGTCGTAGCATCATCATCCATACCCTCTCATTCTGCAGGGCATGCTTTTTGTTTCTTTCCCCTTCTACTCTTTATTAATTTAACAAATGTTTATTGAGCACTTGCTCCTTGTTAGGATACAGTGGAGCTAAGACACACTGCCTTCGTCTGCAGAGAGCTCCGGGGCTGGTGTGGATGAGAGTCCGTCTCAGCTAGAAGTCTCGTGTGGGAACTGCAGCATCACCTTAACTTACCCTCAGGTGCATGAGGCCATGAGGCCACCTCCATGTCGGGACTGCGGATGTCCTTACAGGTATTTGTGCTTATTTATGTACCTCATCACGTGCATGGTTAGCTTATTTGCACAGTAAAATTTTCCTTTGGTGAACAGAAAACTCTGGGTGTAACATTCATACATCTGAAGTTCATGTTATGCTTTTAGCTTGACACAGATTTCTAGCACAGTAAATACTTAGTTGTTATTATTTGTTCATGATCTTGAAGGTTCATGCCTCATTGCATATTGTAATTTTGCTGAAGTGCCAATTTAATCACCTGACGTGAAATGCTGATGAACAAGAGGGTGTTACTCATAGTGAGGGAACCTGGCAGTCACCCAACATTCCTGTCAAACTTGACTTTGTGAGTTTCACTAAAGAAATAAAGTCCATTGTTTCAAGTATGTTCATGGTGGATGTTACTTTAGGAATATCACAGTGCAGTGTCTTTAGGAATATCAGTGTCATAGTGTAGGGTTTGTTTTGATGGAATCATTACAACCCTGAAGGAACACTTAAAATTTCCAATTATTCTTCACTGAACTGTGGAATGCACATGGCGGCATTTGGGCACTCACCAACATCTCAGGGTCCATGCCTTGTAGATGCCTAAGCCTCCATTCCACTAAAATACTGGCATATGTAAATAAATTATAATGGCATCACTTGACTTTCAGCTGCATTCCTTCTGGACCTTGACCCTTAATGACAAGTTCTTTGGATCTGTTTAACCATGGACTCTCATCAGAGAGACGCAGCTTCAAAACTCTACTTTACCACATACTAGTTGAGCAACTTTGGCATACTGACCACGCTCAGCTTTAGTATCGTCCTCTGTAAAATGAGGGTAATAATCACAGGTCTTGCCTAACGGGATTGTTGTGACATTAAGTTGTCACATTTACACACATAAGGCTTTTAGCACAAATGCCTAAAATGGCAGGTGACCCGTGAGTCTGGGCGCTCTTTCCTTCTCCACTTCCACCCCACCCACTGAGCTATTGCCCCTCCTTCCTGCCTTTTTGCTGAGGATGTGGCCCTTTCCCGTGGGGCCTTACCTACAACTCTGTTTGCCCCGTCTTGCCTGGTGTCTTCCTGGTTCTAAGTCCTGGAATACGTTTTGCTCTTGGCCACTCTCTGACATGGGATGTAGGGCTTATCCCTCAACTGGTCAACCTCTGCTACCCAAATCTCCTTCTTCTGCCTTTCTCTTTCTTTCCTGAGTCAACCATCACAGAGGTTATAGCACCGTAGTCAGGAACAGAGACCCCGGTATCTGACTGCCCGGGTCCAAGTTTTGATTCCACCACTTAAATTGGTGGCCTTGGGTATGTTATTTAACCTCTTGGTGCCTCAGTTTTCTCATCTGTAAAATGGAGATGATCACATTGACTATCTCATGGAATTGCTAGGAAGAGTAAATGAGTTCATGTATCTGAAGTGCTTAAAATGGAGCTTGGCCCATACAAAGTCCTATATAAGTGTGTATTATTGTTATTTACTATTATAGGTTGGGCCCCCTGTTCCCTTCATTATCTGCTAGCTCTTCCCACCCCCATATTTTAAAATGAGTGCTTTTAACGATTAATAACATTCTGATCACAAATTCACCTCCTCTTTGGCCAGCACATTACCCACCATCTGACTATTTCCACTCTGGGGTCACAATATACGTCCTCTTAGAAAAAAAATTCATTGGCTTTACATTAATCATTTAAAAATGCTTAGCCAATCACATCTCTATTTAATCTAGATAGCACGAATGTGTAGTAAAGAGAAGGGCCAGGGTGGCTCTTAAATGAACAGATTCCAGATCAAGAAGCCAGGAGCAGATACTCGGCTTCATATGTGTTTTAGTCTGTCACACACCACATAACATGGGTTTCATCACCATCATTGACTTAGAGGCCTCCACCACCAATCACAATGTATTTCAAAGGCGAATTAGTAGCTTTAGAAAATTATGTGAGCAGTTTACCCCAAATTCTTACCTATAACTTTTCCTAGAAAGAGCGACTTGGGAGAATTGAACAGAGTGTCAGATGAACTTGGCAGATGGTAACTCACAGAAGGATAATGATCCAGCTGCAGGAGGAAAAAGAGAGACACTTTTAGAAGAATGTCACCATCCTGCGCTGGACTCAGATCTCCCAGGCGGGATGACATCATTCTCTGAACCTCAGTTTCTGGATCTTATTTCATCACTGCTGACTCTGAAATACCAGCCTGAGAAAATGGAAAGTCCATCCCTTCCTTTGCTGGGGTTACTGGAAAACAAATTGAGCTTGGTAAGTGAAGGCCCTTTATGAATTGTTCTCCAGCTTACGCACATTTTCTGTGGATAATTTACCTGCTGGATTAAGATCCTTGCTCATTTTAACAGAGTGAAGCCGGCTTGATCCAATCCCTAGTACTGACCTCTGAGATAGAAAATGCTACATCTATAGCGATGGATTTTCTTTAGGATCGTCTTACTGTACTGTTTTCTTCACCGTTTGGGTCTATCAACTTGCACATAAATATTGATCTTCAGAATATATATATATGTTCAAATATGAATATGACTATATTCATATATATGGATATGTAATTCAAATGCTGAGATTCAGGTTCATAGTTTTCTTGCTTATCAAAACGAGGGTGATTTCTCCTTCTTGCCACAGGGCAGGGACATCAGAGCCTGGAGGGGACAAAGACACCTTTGCTCTAGCAGAGCTGTCTTTTCAGAGCGGAGCTGAGTTGGCAGCAGAGGGAGGAAAAAATGAAGCAGATGGGACTAGCTTACAGGTAATGCCTGTTTTAGCAATGCACATTTCTGATTACACTTCCCATGTAAAAGTGCAAGTGGTGGTGTCCCAGAATCACAGGGCTTCTCTTGTCCTTTGTGTCCGTAAGTGGCTTTTCTTGCCTTAGCTGAATTTTTACAACCCGAACATTCTGGTTATGTTTCCCCAACTGTGAGCTCCTAGAACTTTCTGTGCTTCTGTGTACCCACATGTGAAAAGCCTCTCTTGTAACCTTTTGTTTTTCTGAAATGAGTTTAATACCTGCTCAGGTGAGCATAAGGCAAGGTGTGGGTCAGAAGGAAACACTGCATCCCTATCTGGCAGGGCCTTCCCGTGGGAACTCCACCAGGAAGCTACTTGCTGCAGGCAGTAGCACAGACTCCAGAAACTAGATCCACTCCCGGGTCTTGGCTCCTAACGGGCCAAGACGGGCAAAGCTGCAGGAAGGAGACCTGCTTCCGGGAAGGAGAGGGTGGCTGGAAGTGCGCGGGGAGGGAGCTAAACTCACTTGTCAAGAGGAGAATGAGTTACTTTGAGAAACGATGGCTAATTATTAATGAGCGCCTACACCGGAATTTTGAGACTGCTTACTAGAAACCTCGAAGTTATTGTTACTCAAGGTTAAGAGTCAAAGAATCATCATGTCTCAGGAGTTTTGGGAGCTTTGACCTGCAAAATGGGTACTGTAAGTATTTTTGTGCGTGGGTGAGTATCTGGTAGCACTGTGATAAAAGTCCAAAACACATGATTAAAGTAATCAGCGGCGTGTTCGACTATAATTGTGAAAAGCCTTCTACAGTTTCAAGTGCATCGTTAACAAAACACTTATTCTGGCCAGAGAGTCTTAAACATTTTACTACTTTATTGTATTTGCTCTGGAGCAAAGGCAACTATTTCTGCTGCTAAATATTAACTAGCTGCTTTGGCGCCATCTGGTGGCACACATGCATAACTGCTGCGGTCCCTCCATCCACTTCTACGTAGGCCTGTTGTCAAAAGGCTTCCTGAAAGTGCCGATATATCAATAATTAGTAAGCTACCCTACTATGCTTCAGTGATGATCTCCCCCTAGATACTTCTCATTTAATCTATTTTGTTAAATAACTTAAAAATGGATACAAAGAATATATGTTCATTATAGAGAAAATAATAGATTTGCAGACAAAAATTTAATGTTAAATTTTATGTCTATTCTTTTGATTTTTTTCAAAAACTGGATGGAACCCAACTACACATATTGATTTGCATTTTCATTTACTTTTCATTACTTAACAATGTAACAGACTCTTTCTGTGTCAATACACATACAACTAAATTATCCCTTGCAATGAATGATGGGTATTCCATTTTATGGATATATGGTACCCAATTTTTAAAAAATATCAAATTTCTCTGCTTAGACTTTTAGATTTCTTGTATCTTTGGGCCCAGGACAGTGCTGAGCACATAGCAGCTCAATAAAAATGTGCTGACATTCGTTCCTGCAACTCTTCCAGCAGCGGACACAGGTGAAATAAGTGCTCAGAGGTGGCCTGATTCACACAACAGAATCACCCTTCTTTTCCTGAACTGTTTCTAGGGACCCAGACTGGACAGAGTTGGCTTTTGGGCACATTTTATATTCTCTCTACTGAGCTCACGCGATGTAACATTTGGGCACATTTTATATTCTCTCTACTGAGCTCACGCGATGTAACGTTTGGGCACATTTTATATTATCTCTACTGAGCTCACGCGATGTAACGTTTGGGCGCATTTTATATTCTCTCTACTGAGCTCACGCGATGTAACGTTTGGGCGCATTTTATATTCTCTCTACTGAGCTCACGCGATGTAACGTTTGGGCGCATTTTATATTCTCTCTACTGAGCTCACGCGATGTAACGTTTGGGCGCATTTTATATTCTCTCTACTGAGCTCACGCGATGTAACGTTTGGGCGCATTTTATATTCTCTCTACTGAGCTCACGCGATGTAACGTTTGGGCGCATTTTATATTCTCTCTACTGAGCTCACGCGATGTAACGTTTGGGCGCATTTTATATTCTCTCTACTGAGCTCACGCGATGTAACATTCGTAGTTTGTCTCCATAGGTTACTTTCAGCTCTTCTCCTTCCTTCATATATGCAGTTGGTGACTTGAACCAAAAGCTAAAATTTACATTTATTTATACTAAATTTATTTCTTTTGTTTTGAAGCATAATAACAGCCTACTCAAAAGTTTTTGAATCTTGATTCTGTCATCAGTGATTCTGCCTGGTTTTGATTTATCTATAAATATCACAAACATGCCAAGTCTTCATTCCTTAATGAAGTCATTAATGAAAAAATGTTGGACAGGAATCTAAGTGGGCAATGATCTATAATTCTAATACAAGTTACTTGTTCAGTTAGGAAAATCTTTGGGAACAACTGACATAGAAAGTATGACAAGTGCTGAGGATACACAGGAAGGCTCTAACGTTCACACAGATCAAATTCTCGTGTCTGCGGTAATTCTGTAAGAAAGGAGGAAAGCAGGAGCAGAGCTACGAGGAAAGAAGAGTCTGGCTGACTTTTTCCTTCTCTCTGTCTCACACTCCTCTCTGCCTTGTGCTGAGGAGGAGGGAGGCAGGTGGGGTTGCGGGAACAGGGGGAGGTGAAGTGGAGGGCACGGCAGGAAAGGCAAGAGCGGGGGGGGGGGGGGGGGGGGGCCTTGAAGACGTGGCTCGGCGAAGGATCCCGGACTCTCTGGGGTGACGAGACACGGGATGCGGGCGCCCTCTAGAGGCTGAAAAAGGCAAGGACCTAGATTCTCCCCTCACCGCCTGGGGTGCGGGGGGAACCAGCCCTGCCAGCACCTGAGCATCAGCTCAGTGATACTAATTTTGGATGTCTGGCCTCCAGAGCCATAAGATAATAAATTGGCGTTACCCTAAACTTGTGGTAAGTTGTTACAGCAGCAGTAGAAAACTAATAGAGGAAATTAAGAAAAAAGAGCTGTGCCACCAAAACCATAGCTGAACATCACCTTCTCCCAGCTCGGTTCTCAAATAATAGCTCTAGTCCTGTTTCACTCGTCCTGCCTCCCAGACGAAGGCTGCAAAGCTGCCCAATTCCGGAATTGCCCTTGCTTTTTAGAGCACCCAATCCTGCTTTCTGGAATCCTCCCAACACAAGCCCCATCCTCTTCCCGTCTCTCGCCCAGTGATATCCCCATCATGGTCCCTGGTATGTGACTCTTTGTGCCAGTAATCCATTCATTGCCTCCTGGCTCCAACTCACCCTTCAATATCTGCTCTATGATAAACACGAATTCCTTTAATCTCCTTTAAAATGAGAAGGATATTAAACTCTCTCAGCCCTGGAGGGAAGAAGGGGCTCCTGGAAATTTCCAGGGCTGGCTTGGGGGCGGGGAGGTAGTGGAGGTTCGGCCTAGGGTGTGAGGTCTGCCCAAGCCACAGGCCCAGAGCAGGACGCCTCCGTGAGCCTACGGCCTGGTGACCCTCCGTCTCCCCTGGAAACCACAGCCCCTGTGCAGCCCTGCATGGCCTGCCCCCCCCCCCCCCCCCCCCACACGCTGGGTCCCTGCTTCCCCACCTGCACTCCAGACAGTGGCCTTGTGCTGGCCCAGAAACCCCAGACCAGTTCCAGCCCCGCCAAACCAGAACTTCTCTGCTCTCTGTGGCGGGCCACGGCTTTTCCCACGACGTCTGGAGCCCCCATGCTGGTCCTTCTGTGGGTCTCCTCCCTCAGCCCTGATGCTTCTAGCACACTCCACAGGGCTTTCCTTACATCTTGGAGGTTTCCTTTATTGCAGTTAATTCTTGTATCAGGAGCCTAGTGAGCTCTAAGCAGTTTCTATCGAATCCTGTTCTTCTTAATGGTTGTTTCATTCTTTTAATGGTTATACTCTCCCCCCTTCCTTCCTGTCTCAGAAGCAATGCCTTCCCAAGGCTCTTCCTCTGCTTCTGTACATTTTAGACTCGTTCCATTTGATTTCCTAGAAGCCACTGCTCAAATGAGAATTTCTTCAGTGAGGGGTGTCAAAAAATCAAAGAAGTTGTGTAGCAAGTCCAGGCTGCAGTGCAAGCTTCCTGTCACTTAGACCTTAAGCACAGCGTATCCCATGGTATCCTGCATGTCTCTGAATACCTAGTTAATCACTTTTAAAAGTGTAAAGATGGGAGGGACCTTCAAGATGGCGGAGGAGTAAGACGTGGAGATCACCTTCCTCCCCACAGATACATCAGAAATACATCTACGTGTGGAACAACTCCTACAGAACACCTACTGAACGCTGGCAGAAGACCTTAGAC